ATATATGTTTTTATTTTTATCCTACCTAGACGGTTAGCAGGATTCCTCTTGAAGAGTGCTCTCAGTAAGCTCTGGACTTCAGGGCTGAGGAACTGTGGCATCCCAAGCTTTGCTCTGCACAGACAGGATGCACATAAAGCTGTTATGACTAGTGCTGATCAGTATCAACTTAATTTTTCTATTCATTGATGCTCACCAACAATAGCCCAATAAGACTTATCCCCTCCACACAATCATATATATATATATATATATATATATATTTATGTATTAAACAACAGTTTTTACAGACTTTAAAACCAATTCTTCAGTCAGACCTTCAGAAGTTATTAATAAATAGAGAAATAATATAGGAATTACAGTTTATAATATGTTAAACAGTGAGTTGGTCTCACTTTAGAATAAGAGCCATGGTTTCTTTCCGATCTTTTCCTTGGAATGGTAACGATCCAGTCAACATTTCAAACTGCAAGACACACACAAAAAAAAAACCACTTGCATGTCAGCCAACCAATGAAAAGTGGAGCAGAGAAAGATGATTGAAATTCCATTTGTTTATCGTCTTCCTAAAAACCAACACACAAATGCTAAGCTGTGCATGAACTGTGCATGAACTCAGTCAAATTTAGTGCATCAAAATTATATTGAAGTGAAAAAAACAAATCTTCATAATATAACAGTGTGTGTCAGGATCCTGAGTTCTTTCAGTTTTTTGTTTATTAGTTATTTAGTTCATTTTGTCATTACGTTTCTCAGTCAAGTTGTTCCTTGTGATATTATTTGTTATTTTGTGAACTCATATTCAGATTAGTTTCTTGTTTCCCTGTGCCATCGGTTCACTTCTCCTCAGTCCTGCTCTTCCCATTCACACCTGTTCATTGTGATCATCAGTCTCACCTGCCTTCTCTTACCTCATCAATCCCAGCCTTCTAAAACTCCTCCTAGTTCATCTGCAGTCTGACATTGTGCTTCATGCCCTGTGTGTTTTCAGCTTCTGTTATTATGTATCATTTGCTGCAATGCCAGCACTTTGTTTTATGCTATTTGTAAGAAATAAATGCTTTAGTTTCCATTGTCTTGGGATCATCTTTCCTTCATACTGTGTGACAGCGTGTTAAATCCGAAGCAACCATTTGTATGTGATTTAGCAAACTTCAGGGTGCTATTAGTATGTATAAATGACAATTTTACAAATGTTAGGATCTGTCATGTCTTGTCACAACATTGACAATCAATAAAGGGTTTTACTTTACAGTAAGGCTCCCCTTATAGAAGGCTAATAAAAAGTTTGTAGATACATTATTAATTCCTTTATAAACACTGTATAGATCATTAATAACTGCTTATTATGCATTAATTAAGAGTGACAGAGAGACAAAACTGACCAGTTTCTTGCCGAATAGTGAGCCAAATCTGACACCTATATATTTCATTTAGAGTTATTATATTAAACAGTTCAGACTAAGCATTTGTAAAACAATTTTTTTAGGATATAATATTAGTTGTAGATACTTATAATGCAGTGATAAAGTATAATATTTTATGCTTAAGAAATAGGTTTACAAATGCTTATTGTGCTTACAAGGTAGTAATGTTTAATATAACAACTCTAGATGAAATATATAGGTGAACAGATTTGACTCAATATTTGGCAAGAAACTGGTCAGTTTTGTCTCTATGTCACCCTTAATTAATGCATAATAAGCAGTTATTAATGATTTATAAAGTGTTTATAGAAGAATTAATAACATATCTATAAACTATTTATTTGCCATTTATAAGAGGAGCCTTATTGTAAAGTGGTACCTAATAAAGATTCAGAAGAACAAGTATGGTTTAGGTTGTTTTTATGCTTGCTGTATTTTTCTTACAGACAATGAATGTGGCTTTTTTTCAGTGTAAATTACAAAAATCGAAATAAAATTTCTCATCTGTAATTAAGACAGCAAAGCCAAAACTAAATCTCATATCTAAAAGCGTTGTTTAATTTGTGAAAACAAACAAAACTTTTTGTTTCATTAAAAAATTTCCATCATTTTATTTCTCTTCCTACGTTTGAAAAGTCCAAAATAAATATGAAACTTGAAACGATTGAGTTTAGTTTTCATATTTGCTTATTTGTCGTACAGACAAACTGTGGCACTCGCCCTGGTGTAACGGCCAGATGTCAGTTAATGTTCCTACCTTCTTCTCTGTATTAGTAAAATAAGCCGCCACGCTAACAAAACAAGCTGACTTTAGCAGATGCATGATTACTGAAAGTAAACCAACTTAATCTGGCAGATAATTAAAAGGCTTTACTGGGGGGAAAAAATAAAAAATCCAAATCAGGAAACCAGACCACTGGTGCTTTATTATAAACTCGTATTTTCTGCATGGGATCTTTAAAATACTGTGATATCCAACCTAAATAACTGACGATGGGAGGGAAAATATACCAAATGGAAATATAGAAATTGTGTTTGTAAAAAAATATTGTATGATTGACGAGTCCTTACCATGAGAACACCAAACGACCACCAGTCTGCACTCTGAGTGTGTCCTCTTCTGTTCACAACCTCAGGAGCCATGTACTCAATCGTGCCACAGAAAGAATAGGCTCTTTTGTCATGATCAATGGCTTCCTTACTTAGACCAAAGTCTGAACAAAAATGCAAAGTGTCAAAACCCAAAGTGAGACACAAACAGACAAAAGAAACAAATTACAGCTTTGCTTTGTTGGATGCAATTACCAGTGATCTTTATGTGTCCTTCTTCATCCAGAAGGATACTAATGGGACAAAAACACAAACATTCAATTTGAGCATAATATACTGATATTACAGACATTTAACTAAAGCATAACTTTAATGTGGCTGTACTTTTCAGGTTTCAAGTCTCTGTAGATGATTCCAAGACTGTGAAGATGGTCCAAGGCAAGGGCCAACTCTGCAAGGTATAACTTGACATCCTCTTCTGTAAACATTACCTAAACGAGTAAAGAGATGTGGATGTATTTGAAGCTAGAGAAAATCCCTTCTAACTGCAGACAAAAATGAATGGTTAAAAGTTTTTTAGTGTGTTTTTACAGAATATTGCTCTTATCTTTAAAAACATCCTCCAAAACACAACCGCCAAACTAGCACACTTGCACCATCTGTTCATCATAAATAACCACAAATGATCATACGTTAGAAGAAAAGTAATGGAAATAAGAATCCAAATTCATTTAATTTATTTATTTTAGGACAAAGAGTATTATAAAGCAAGCCTACCTCCTTTGACAGACGAGTGAAAAGGTCTCCTCCTCTGAGGAAGTCTAGGATCAGATAGAGCTTCCCTTCTGTCTGGAAGGCTAGACACGCACACACGGAGGCAGAAACAGACAGATGCAAGAGCGAAACAACAAATAAGGTATTTTTGTTTTGTTGGAGGATGGATTCTTGAGATAAAAAGGACTACAGTGTGCTTGTATCTGCAAGTGCGTACAACAGTGAGGTACAATCAGTATGTGATGCAAATAAAACATGTTCTTCAATTTGAACATGTATGCCAATCAAAAAGTCAATTCAGTTATACAACCCAGAGTTACTACCTATAAAGCTTACTGAAGTCTCTCAGCTGCCAAATGTAGACTATGCAGTCAAATGCACACATATAGAAAGGTGAATTCTATGGATGCACAATATTATCAGCATGGTATTGGTATCGGACGATATTAGCGATAAGGTTAAATATTGGATATCGGTCATTTCATCAACATAACGCACAGATATAAAAGGCACTTACGATATCACGCACTCCATTAGGTTTAGATTTGTGAAAATTTACAAACTTGCACTGTTTGGGTGTTGACATTGTGTTAGACAGAGTAAACTTCATGAATAAATTTGACATTAAACATAGTCCAAGTTGAAGTGTTACATCATTTTCAGCCCACTTTTTGGTATCTGCATTTGGTAGCAGGACAAATTGACAAAGACCATGCAGAATAATGTAGTATTTTAATTCTACAGCAGAGAAAGCGATGTAGTCTCTGTAAGTAGGTCTAGAAAAAAATATATAGGTATTGGTATTGGTTATTAGCCAAATAAGTTTTAACATATCGGCATATCGGCCAAAAATTCAATATCGTGCATCCCTAGTGAATTCACATAGTTTGTCTCAGATTTATTATAAATAAATAAACCAGATTTGTTTGTAGCAATAAAAGGTTGGATCAAAGGTAATAAAAACATTCTACAATTGGCTCTGGTTGTTAAATTAAAGTTAAATTGTTAAGTCACAGGGCTGTTTGAAATAGAG